ATAGAGTTGTAGCAAGTCAAAAACATTTTTTTCATGGCTTTTTAATTTTGTAGAAATTCATATCAAATGTAAAAAAGGTTTCTCAAACCATTCTCCAGTAAACTGACGCAGATTGACAAACAAATCCTTACATATACAATGATATGGTCAATTACCTTCAGCTACCTGCAATAGGTATCTGTACTAACGATAATGTTACTTGAAATATCAATACCTAATCTGAGATACCAGAACAATGATAGCATATCAGATTCACTTACTATTGATCCAAAAACACAATTGTGGATCGCTCAAATATCATTGGATCCTAAGCAAAAATTCAAAAGGGATTAGCTGCATAGTTCTAGTGGGTCATTGAAGGTTTAAAATTGGAGTTTTTATTCAATTTATTTATTTCCAATGCTGCCAAAAAATTAATCTTCCTTATTGCCTTACTGCATGTATAACTTCATTATGTTAAATTTTGAGAAATAGTTTCTTATGGTTTCGCAGAGCCTTCCCTAATAGCTCATGCTAGCATATTTCTTAGCTTCTTCACGTTTCCAATGCTTGCAACGAATTAATACTCCTTGTCTTACAGCAGGTATGGAGAATGTTCAGGTTTTCTTCATTTACTGTGTGGTTTGTTTCTGGTAGATTTGTTTCTGCCCATATTCAGCTGTTTTTCAATCTGATAATACATGCTCACGGGGCCTTATGTTGAAATGGTTACATGTCTGGCCTGTTTAAGCCGCTGAACCACATTCTAGTCTATATATGCCTAATTTTTTACACTTATCCCTTTGGGGTTTTGCGTTCATTAAACTGTTTCCAAAATTATTCCTAATAATAAATGACATTATTATGTTAAATTTTGAAAAAATGTTTTTCATGATTTTGCAGAGCTTTCCCGAATAGCCCATGTTAGCATATTTGTTAGCTTTTTTATGTACGTCATGATTTAGATTCAGTTCCTTTATGATCAATTTTAGGTAGGTTTTCATTAGAGACAATTTTCTCAATTGGGCTGACTCTGATATGGTTATTAGATGCTATCTGCTTTATGATCCCCATTTCTTTCTGAAAAGCCCTCTATGATGAAAGAATTAAAACTGCTCTTTATATAATTGATCTGAATGCAGATAATTCATGTGATAATGGACTGGAAGGATTGTGCAGTCCGTAATAGTGTTTAGCTATATATGATGAACTGGAAGTTATTATTAATGTTTTTAATAGTGAGATCAACTTATTCTATTGTTTTGTTCACCTACGAAGGTGAATTTTATCTTATCGTATCAAGTAAAAATCTTAGTAGAAATTAGACCAAAGTTATTTATCCTTTCCTATATGTTGTTATTGATTACCATTTCACATAGTACTTTGCTATTTTTGGCAGTTAATATTATTATGTTTTACCCTTATGATTACAGACAGACAGGCTGGAAAGACCTGGACCTAAATCGTAAATTTCACTAATGTCACTTCATTTCTGTTCTGTTCGAGAAAAATCCTAATATGTGAAAATGAAAGCTTCAGAAGAAAATTTGAAAGAAATTATTGATAAAGAAGTTAATGCAAATGTATTTGTTCCTGGTTATAGGTATAATTTTGAGGTAAATAAGACGTATTGAAATTCTTCACAGATCATTCAGTATTTTACAGAATAACAAGCAAGAATTAATTTCTATTAGGTGGAGAGTAAATCACTACGTGAGAGAATTTGCGACTTATGTTGATGAATTGCTCCTTGACCTGCTTTAGACTACAGCTAGTTGTACACAAAAATAAATGTAATAAAAACATTAATAATTAACTTCACAGTTGCCGATGCGTCTCTGTCAGGATAGGGAGCTGTGTGTAATAAAGAAAAAAAATCAGTTTTCAAATTTTTGTGTTTTTTTTAGAATGAATAACTTCATGAGAATTTCAGATATAAATAAAGAAGATACAGAATTTCATACACTTATTGAATGCACTTTTATGACTGATGGCAGTTGTGTAAAAAATATAGCTTGGCAATTCTAGATGTGCCTCTGAAATGCGCGAATAATAAAGAGAGATGGTAACTGGCCACTATTAACTTTAACCAGGGAGTGTAATCAGGAAAATAATTTTGGCAAATGTTGACAACTACACATATACCAGTACGGAACAAAAAACCCAATTCTTTGATGGCATAGTTACTAGAAATAGTTACGAAACAATGCGGGTAGATATTCCACAAAACATTCCTTGCAATATTGATAACAATATACTACTATATACATGAATGCAATTTATATACAGGGTGGGGCACCGAAAACAAAACAAATCGAATATCTTCAAAACATATGTTTTCTGAAAAAAATAAAAAACACGTCGATTTTTATCCAAGGGGCAAATCTTTCTACCATAACCTCAACTGTCATACTTTTACCTCCACCCCTCGGTCACTATCACTCAAACAATTTGAATAGGGAAAATGGTAAGTGTGACACATTAGTGAAAAGGTAATTCCATAAGGAATTCGGCCATGTCAATTTTCGCTACCTAACATTCTATTTTGGTGCCCTCTTGCGGGAAAAAACTGTTCTGTATTCCAAATTATGATACTTCATTTGCAAGCTAATTTGACATAAATTCAGTGACAATGCATTATGGAATTTTTCTTGGGGGAAAAACAAGATGGCGGCTCCAATAATCGAACCACAATTACAAATATCGTTCGCCACCTTGTTTTTGCATCAACAATCATAATTTCCTACTCTGAAAATCCCCACATAATAATTTTGATTCGAATCGGACCATAATTACAAAACTTCCTCCACCATTTTGGAGCCACCATATTTTTTTTGCATTGACAAACAAATCATAATTTTCGATCATGAAAACCACCACTAATCAATTTTGAATCAAATTGGATCATAATTGCTTATCTTGTCCGCCATTGTCATTGTGGAACCGCCATTTTGTTTTTTCCTTAGACAAATTCCATAATGCATTATCACTGAATTCATGTCAAGTCATCTTGTAAATGAAGTGTCATAATTTGGAATACGGAACAGTTTTTTATCCGCAAGAGGGCGCCAAAATAAAGAGTGGGGTAGCGAAAATTGACATGGCTGAATTCCTTATGAAATTACGTTTTCAGTAATATGACACATTTACTACTTTTCTTATTCAAATTGTTTGGGTGATAGTGACCAAAAGGTGGGGGAAGAGGTATGTCAGTTGAGATTATGAGAGAAATATGTCCCCCTTGGATAACAAATCGGCGAGTTTTTTCATTTTTTCATTAAACATGTGTCTTAAAGATATTCGATCTGTTTCGTTTTCGGTGCCCCACCCTGTATTATTTTCGATGATGGGTTGCCTGAATATGATAGAATGATTTTTCTCCTAGTGTTGATACATGGTGATACATGTCGCTATACTCATGTAAATCAATAATCAGATCATCCACGATGATGTCTATCATGAGTTCATTTGACATAAAATCGTCCTCAGATTTAAATTGAAACGTGGATACGTGATAGGAAATCATAATGAAGAAGAGAGGAATGAAGCTTTCTATGTTTTAAAAGTGGTGAAAAACATAGAAACTTCCATTTCTCCTTTCTTCGTCCTCAGATTTCTTTACTAGTAGATTTGCTCGGAAGTAGACTCGTAAAAAATCGTCGCAATGTTGCATGACATCCTTGAAATTGCAAGGAATATTTTTACTTGCCACGTGATATTCCAGTCTAGCCAAAACCAACTCAATTGGATTTAAATCTGTGTGATATAGCGGTAATCTCACAACGTTATAATTTGATGCTAGAAAGGGCTGATCTATTCCATACCTCTTAAATTTTGCCTCATATTTTTTTTATGGCGGCATATAATTCAGAATAGAGCATGTTTTTTCCAAATAACCTCTCAAATATGCACC